AGTATTTTTCACATTTGCGTCATTCAAGGAGGCTGCTCTTTGAAGGTGTTGATAAATTCTTAATTACTTACTTCAACAACTGCTTTCATTTCTTTTTGGGTTCTGTACGAAAAAATCAGAACAAAAATGATTGGAATATTGCCAAACATATAGATAGCAGTTGCGACATAATACGAGTTGTAGTGAAGTAGACGTTCAAATTTTCCTGGTAACGGCTGTAGAGCGTTTAAACGATGAATAAAGGCGACAAGTGTTCCACAAAATGAAAACTGTAGCAGAATTATGGAAATGCTCTAAAAAATGAATGATTCAATCCTCTTTTCATCCTTTTTTTTTCCCTTACAACTTGAAATTTGCTTAAATTCCAACTCTCCTCACTGATATACCCCGCTAGGGTGGATAGCATTAGCTCAATTTTCTGGTAGTTTAGCCATTTCACTTGTGATGAAAGTATAAACAGTGAAACGTTTGCGAGAAGGAAATAGTTCATGACATTTTTGTGGCTCAAGTGAAATAATGGAAGTTATGGCGTAGAATAGTGGAAAAATGGCAAAAATCGGCGGATTTTAAAAAAATATCAGACCTAAAAAGTCAGTAACTGTCTGGATGCCTCTCACCTGAGCTTAGTATTCATTGGCGTCCTAATGCTTTATTGGAAATCTTGCTGCCTCAACAGCGTGAGTTGAGACCACTCTGGTATCATCCGCTCCTGAAGGGATGGGAGACTCGGAGGGCTTGGACGTTAACCGTCCAGAAATTCGATCCGCGCGCCTCATTCATGTGATAATGCGCCAATTCCAGTTTACCACCTCCTTCCTCTACACTATGCATATGTTCAGATGATTCTATGACTTTATAGTGCTAGGCTAGCCACATCAATCTGGTTAAGTTAGGCTTTTCACTATTGGAAGGCTTCTGTAAAAACTGTCCATGACGAACCGAACATTCTCATCCGGATTGTGCGTGATCGTTAAACAGCTAAGCTGGCTGACTCCCTGCTCATTTGTTTGCTTACTACTAGATTGTGTTTTTCGAAGAATTAGTTGAGTTACTCACGAACAGTACGAAAATGGCGTTCTCGGTTACGTTAGCAATCCATGATTCTGAGTAACAGGCGATTTCTGGGAATACTGGTAAAGGATCAAATAGGAGACATATTGTGATGTCTGTTATAAACACAGTTACCTGAATGATTGATTATTTCCTCCTTAGCAAACAAAAACAATGTGATAAATTAGTTTTTCCACAAAATAGCTTTTGGTTTTCATAGTCAGAAGAGCGTAATATAGCCATAGTACTCAAACTGAAAGGAACTCGTCCTTAGTGAAAAAACTCAAAAGTGCTACTGGAAATTGAAAAGCTGGTGTTAAATGGGAAGAATCTAAAAAAATGAAAAGAAAGGGCTGTAATGAAGTTGAAACAATTGGTCGCTTCGATCGCATATCCATCGACCTTTATGATGAACATTAGAAATACAATAATGCGGCAACAAGTCCGCGACTGCCGCGTGCGGCAGATCGATTACCCAAAACCGATTCAACTACCCGCCTTCCTCGTTTGCTAAAGTCTACTGGCACTCAGGAATCACCTAAGTAGGCTATGACGAATTGTGTCCTCATATCCTTCAGATACGATAAAGTGCTTTAACCCACATGTGGACTGCAGTTGTACTTTTTGTTTTATTCATCTAAATTTTCACTTTCTTTCAATTGTTCTTCTCACATTATTACATCAGGCCTAAATGAAACTACATACAGCGTGGTCCTAAAAAATCTTCTAATTTTGCAATTGTAAAGTTTTTTCCGAAGTAGTACATTACCTTGGTGAATTTTCCGTTCATTGAACAGCTTCTGAAAACGAGGTATAAAAAAATTGTGGTCATCACCATTTCCAAATGCAAAGTTCGTGAAAATTCCCCGAAACTGTTCCTCGTAATGGCTAACCAAGCGACCGCGCCTTTTACATTGTCCTTAGATTACTTTTTAATTTCTCTTATAGCTGTAGTTGGAANTGAATGATTCCTGGACCACGATGCCTCAAGATTCTCTAGAAGGCTGTGAGCTAAGCTGATACTTGAAAACATGAAAAAGTTATAAGAATACTTGATAAATAATATAAATACTAGGGGCAGGCTATGGTGTGGTCCGCCGGCGGTTCACGGGGTCGTCAGTGGGTTAAAAACACACCGAAAACTCACCACAAGATTTAGCAATATCCATCGATATTTTTTCGTTTTTGGAGGAGTTTTCGTAATAATAATAAAAATTGTCAATAACGTTAGCGGAATACCAGCCACACTAATGCATAAAAAAGTGAGTTCGACGTTATTTCTACCATTGAAACGTATCAGCGGTCTGCCATCGATGGTTAACCAGCTAAAATAAACATGAATCAAATCCGTGGCTTTCAGAATGATCAGAAAAAATTCTTTCTATTGTTTTCTTGATCATATTGCTTTCCTGATCAAGCCTAAATAAGCACTGATGGACAGCTGATGATAGGGGACATTGTAAACGGCAACCTTAACAATTACAGAAAGGAATCCCACTTATAGCCTGTGACATTTATCTTCCTTTGTTAAATATTTTCCAGTATTTACCGAGTAATCGGACGAGAAGGGACGAAAGGGATGAGCTTTGCTGAGCAAAGGATTAGCAAGATAACAAGCCAGATGCCTATTTGTGATTGAATTTGTGAATGGGAAGAAAAACTTGTACATAGCGCTCATGCGGGTGGCACAAAAATGTGGGAATATTGAAAAGGTTAAGGGAAATTTACGGTAAAGTTCTTTTTATTCGAACTGCTTGTCGGATATTTAAAAAAAAATATCTAAGTTTGTACTGAGTAGGATATTACCTGTCAGCGTAGAGGTACACTTTTGAATTCTGTACATCGCCCATGCAGCAAAGGAGTTTATACACCACCAAAGAAACACTACTCCAATACAATGAAACTGATTGTTCAGAATGGTGATTAGTGTTATTCTATGTCGCCTTGGCAATTTATGGATGGCCAGAATCTGTATCAACAATCGTAAATTTTGAGTCAGTATCACTACAGGTAATTTACGAACAAATCAGGAAGTTGCTATGAAGCAGAAAGTGTCTCAAATAAATTTTTTCAGATAGGCAAACATGTATCAAAGTTTTTCTGAACCCCTTTCAG